AGAAGCGAAGGAGCTGCTATCTCAGACACGAATGTGATGGCTACTCCCGCAAAGGTTTTTCAAATTATCACTACCTCGGCTTCAGTGGTCCAATCTAGTGCTAATACTTTTCGCAAAGCTTCTAGTTCAAATAAATTTGCAGTGCTCGATTTAGCATCGGATGTGGTACTGCCAGATGATTCAGAAGGAGATTTTCTTCCGGGTCGGATGATTCAGATGAGGATCTCATTTTGAATCTTAAGTCATCATTTTCAGAAAAATATCTATATTGCAGACCGTTGCAATTCCCGATCAAGGCAATAAATATGGGTCGTGGAGGAAGAGGAGGGGGAAGATGCGGTCGAGGGAATCGGGGTCGACGAGGTGGGTTTGGCTGAACCCATTTTATCGATTCATGTTTCTAATCGTTTATTGTCTCGATAGTTGTCATGTTTTGGCATCTTTTGTTGTGCTTTGTTACTCATTGCCGCTTTGTTGAATTGTACGATTACTATCGTACTGTCTTGTAACGGTTTTCTTTATAATAATAAATTATAAAAAAAAAACAAAAACAACAACAACAAACACAAAAAAAAACAGGGATAATAGGTTATACCCACTTCCTTAAATTGTGGTTATGAATTAGATTCTAATAATTGATATTATATATACTCTAGTTAAAAAGTATAAAATAATAAAAAATAAAAAATATTATACTCTAGTTAAAATTTTCATAACACAAAAGCGACTCTGATGTGATCGGAGTGAAAACTAATAACACTCAACATTTTTTAAATGATGCATAATAATGCTAAAACCTAAAAACATGTTCAATGCAAGTTTCACACCATAGTTTCTCAACTACAAAAAAAATATTAAAATAATAAATAATAATATTTCGTTATTACTTTTATTAAATTAGAGACTTTTATTAAAGTAACAATAAAATAATAAATAATAATATTTAGTTATTACTTTTGTAGGTGAGAAATTTTGTTGAGAGATTTACATTGCACAACTCTAAAATACCATAATTTTTCATGAAATTATGTTCCTATATTACAACTATGTGTTTTTCTGATGTGTGAGGATTTGTATATTTAATTCAAAGATATTTGCATAATGGTCTTACTTTTTTATATATTAAAAGAGAAACATTGGGAGTTTTTTTTTTAAGATGTGGGGCCATGTGGGTATGACAATTTTCTCGGTAACTTTAATTTATTTTAATCACCAAAATACTATAGTGGAATGTTGTTTTTGCTTTAATTAATGTGAGTCTGGGACTAGTTTTTTTATTTATTTTAATAAATGTGTTATATATTTCTCTTTGCAATATTCTTGTTTATTGTTTTTTTTTTGGCATCGATGTTGTTTCATGTACCAACTGAAATATATAAAGGGAATAAGCATCTAATCGACTAATCACTTTAAAATACTCCATATACTAATCAAATACTCCATAAGATAGTCCAATGATTCACCACTAACTTAAAAAACTGTATAAATCGGATTCCCACTTTTCCTAAAGCCTTGTGACCGGCTGTGCCAATTTAAAAAGATTTTAAGTTGTAATTCATTTATTATGTTATGGTAAAATTTGACTAAAATTATACTAAAATCATGGTAAATTGTTATATAACTAGATTATAACCCGCGGTACACCGCGGGACTATATATTTTTTTTAAATAAAAATTTAATTTGTTCAGTAGATTAAAAATATATATGATATAATGTTTTGTATTTTTTAAATGTACAATTCTTATATCTATATATTTTAGTGTACAATTACTAATTTTTACTGTTTAAAAATATAGAAACAATAACATACAGTTCATTAAGTTAAAATCTAGATTGTAAATATATAATTTAAATTTTAATTATATTTATTTTGTTAAAATTGTTTGTTTTGTTTAGTGTTTAAGATAGTATAATTGTATTTTGATTGTTATATCTAGGATTTCACCTGTAGTATACAGTCTCATATTACTATCGACCCAAACCTGTCCTACCATCTAATACCGTTCAGTGAAATTAAACATATCTAATGGATTTCACCCGTGGTATACCGTCTCGTATTACTATCGACCCAAACCCGTCCTACCATCTAACCCCGTTCAGTGAAATTAAACATTATTTTATTATTTTTATTTTAATAATACTTTATCTTAAAAGATATATAATTCATATCAATTTAAAAGTTTTCTTTCAAATAGTTATTTAATTGTTGTAAATTTCATATATTATAATATTATAAATCCGTCATACCATCTAATCCTGTTCGGTGAAACTAAACATTATTTTTTGTTTGAATAATACTTTTATTAAAACATTTATAATTCAAATCAATTTAAAGTTTTCTTGCAAATGATTATTTAATTTTTATAGATTTCACATATTATATATATTCTAAACATTTTTTCCGTTAAATATTCTAAACGTTTAATAAACTTTCAATAACTATAATATTTATCTTTCAATAAAGTATAATATTAATAATGTCCTAAGATTTCTCCTTTTCTTAAGTAATTAGAATTGATGGAAATGCTAGTAATTAAGAATCTTAATTAATTGATAATAATTAATACCAATGGCATTCTTTGTAAATAAGTTGCAACTTGAGGATTTATTTCATAAAGTGTTGCAAAAATGTATATATAGGGGCCGATTGGTAAAAACTTTTACTATAGACTTTTACTGTAAACTTTTGGCTGCAGAGAATTTGATTGTAAAAACTGTGGCTGTAACTTTAAAATATTTTTAAAAGTCTAATTGGTAAACACTACTGTAGAAGCTATGGCTGTAAAAGTTGTGAATATTATTTTAATATCATAACAAAAAGATTTATTAAAAAAAATTAAAAAGTTTAAAAATAAACTAATAGATAAATATTTGAAACAAATAAATTTATTTATATTTATTTATTTTATGTCGAAATTTAGTACCCAAAAGCATAAATAAGAAGTGTTATAAACTAACAAAAACTTGGAAATCATAGTATTTGTTCGATTTGCAAGTTAAAACTCCATTGGTCATTGTATTTATAATGTTAGTGATCTTCTAAGAATAGTTTGTTGTATTAATTTTAATTTAAAATTTGTTGAAATATTTTTTTGTATTGGTATGCTTTAAAATTTATGATTTTCTCTTATTTTTGAATGATTAATGATTCACTATTATGTGCTAATTTGTTTTGTGTAGAATTTTCTTTATTGGCTATTATTGTTTTATATTGATTTTCACAATTAGTAGTAAAACATATTGAAAAAAGAAAAGGAAAAAAAAAAGAAAAAAAAAAGTAAAACATATATATTTTTGAATGTTTTTATTTTTGTTGAATTGTTGTTTCTATTAAGTGATATATATATATATATATATATATATATATATTATATATTGAACAATCAATGAATCATAAAAGTGATATATAAATAGAAGATAAATAATCTTAAAAGAAATACTTAATTAATTGAAAAAATGTTAGAGCCCACGTAAAGTCTCATTATTGGGACTTTAAAAAAACTAATGCAATTAAAGAGAGAGAAAAAAAGAATGGGTTGTTAAAGCTGTAGAGAAAAAAAAGGAGTGAAAAGTCTGATTGGTAAATAATTAACTGTGAGAACTTTTAAATGTAGTAAAAGTCTTTACAGCATCACACCAATCACCCCCATAGATTTAGGGGTTTTTGCAAAAAATGCCTCTTTTTCAATGCCATTTTTCAAAAATGTGCCCTTTCTTAAAACCTTATAAAAAATGCTCTTAAAAATATAAGATTTACCCAAATATGTATGTAACATTATTAAAACATACACAAACTACATTTCTATGTATCTAAAATCTTATAAATACTTTATAAATACTTTATAAATGCATTTTAAATACCTTTAAAAACCTTTAAAATATCTTGTAAAACCTTTGAAAAACCTTAAAAATCCTTTAAAATAACTTGTAAAACCTTTCAAAACACCTTATAAAACCTTATAAATACTTGGATCGAGTCTTCAAGTAGTGGTTACAATCCATAAGTACCTGATAAACCTAATAAAACTTTATAAAAATTTCAGATTTAAAAAGAGGCATTTTTGAAAATGGACATCTAAAATGAGCATTTTTGAAAAGGGGCACACCAAAAGAGGCATTTTTAACAATTTTCCAATAATTTATAGTCAAAGACACAAAATTGGAGAAAATAAACTTTATTCTGATTTTTAGTATGTACAAGTGGAGAGGTCGAAAAAAATTGCAGGCAAAACCGTCTATCACAGTTTCAAGTGTTATTAATTGTTCCGAATGTTGCGAGATAAACTACACATCATAAAGTTGTTTATGAAGTCGTTCATATAATCGCATGTGTTGTGTTGTTGCATGTGATTAGATCAAATAAACTGATTATCGTATAATAACAGATCAAAATATATATATATATATATATATATATATATTATTAGGAATGTGATCTAATTTAACCCAAAAACTAGCTCAAGAGTTAAAGGTTGTCACATCTTATATATATTGCCCAAAGATCTTAATCCCAAACAGGCAAACAATGTGTGACATTCTAATATATATGATTATAATGTACGGTAACTTATTTCTTCCACAGTTTTGGGCTTTGGCAATATATATCATGCATTTTGGAGGACGACAAAAAATATATATATGTAGATATATTTTTAAAAGTTATACTTTTACTAGTTTTTAAAATGGGGCTGCAAATCGTTTGAGACAACACTGGACACGGTGCATGTGATCTCCTATATAAAGAGATCTTGGCATGTATATCATCATAGAAACAAAAAAAAAAAGAAAAAAAGCTTACAATAATTTTCTTTTTTGATAACCCAGTATCCAGACCACACAGTGATCTGACTAGCCTACTGGGCCTAAACCCGCGTCACAGAGATTTTTAAGCCTCCATTTAAGGGCCCTCTGATAAACTGGTGGTCTGGGGCGCCTGAGCAAGTCCGCAGGTAAATTCTCAGGTGGCCACAGGAGTGAGAGAGCGAAACTGCGTCTGGGAAGGATCGATCCCTGGCCTAGACCAACAGGGCGATCCTTCCAAAAAAAAGCTTACAGTAATTTTACTACATTTTACAAAAAAATGACGAATCTAGCAGCGTCTACTTGCCTCCACTCATGTCTCCTTGTTTTGTTCTTGAGTTCAGTCTCAGCAGTCATATATGAAGATCAACAGGTATTATTAACGATTATGTGCATACTAACTTAAGTCTTAAATTGACTTCTAATTTTTTTTATTTTTTGAAAATTAAATGGACTTCTAATTTGCACATACGGTACATTAAGTGTGTACTTTTTGCTTCTAATCAGTTTCTTTTGACAATTTCAAAATTTCAATAGATAATAGCACTTCTTAATTTTGCATAAACCACAGTTTAAGTAGAAGAAAAAAAACAAATTTTTAGCTTATAATCATCATCACTAAGTTATACTGATTTGTTTTAATTTAAACTGACTTGATTCTTCCATCGTTTTAGCTTATAGTCATCACTAAGCGTTTTACCTTACCCCGTTTTAGAAACTTTTAGTTTTGCAGTTTTCTGTTTACGTATCCGTCTCGGTATACCTAGCCATTCGTTATACATGATGAGTTGATGATGATATATGATGATCCATGAAGGTGTATATAGTCTACATGGGTTCACTTTCGTCTCGCGCAGACTACATACCAACGTCCGATCACATGAGTATTCTTCAACAGGTCACAGGAGAAAGGTGTGATTTAATTAATTAGTTAATTTCTCCAATCATTATTAGTTATAATTTAATTTAATTATTTGTTATGAAGTTTTAATAGTGATATATATATATATATATTTATATATATATATATTTATATATTTAGTTCGATCGAAGGTCGCTTGGTGAGAAGTTACAAGAGGAGTTTCAACGGTTTCGCAGCCAGGCTCACTGAGTCAGAACGTACACTAATTGCCGGTGAGTGTTCTTCGATCGTGACACAATTTTGTTGAAATTAAAATAAAAAGCCCTTTTGTGTTTTCCTTAGAAATGGAGGGAGTTGTGTCTGTGTTCCCAAACAAAATGTTACAACTCCAAACGACGACGTCTTGGGACTTCATGGGGTTGAAGCAAGGAAATAATATAAAGAGGAACCCTGCCGTGGAAAGTGATACCATTATCGGAGTTATCGACAGTGGGATCACACCGGAATCTCTGAGCTTTTCTGACAAAGGCTTTGGTCCTCCTCCTAAGAAATGGAAAGGTGTTTGTTCCGGCGGCAAAAACTTCACTTGCAACAAGTAATTTACACTTAAATTAATAATTTTTCTCTTTAAAGATTAGTATTGTCGGTCAAAGCTAGAGATATATTTTCTAGGAACAAGTAGAAATTAGCTTGACTTTCGACGTATAATCTGTTGTTATAATTTCTCAGCAAGTTGATTGGGGCAAGAGACTACACAAGCGAAGGTACTAGGGACACTAGTGGCCACGGCACACACACGGCTTCCACGGCGGCTGGAAATGCAGTCGTGGACGCAAGTTTCTTTGGAATTGGCAATGGTACCGTAAGAGGTGGCGTTCCGGCCTCTAGAATCGCCGCTTACAAAGTCTGCACCCCGTCAGGGTGTAGCTCGGAAGCTCTACTGTCTGCGTTCGATGACGCGATTGCAGACGGTGTGGACCTCATCACCATCTCTATTGGGTTTACATTCGCGTCCATTTTCGAAGATGACCCGATAGCGATCGGAGCTTTTCACGCTATGGACAAAGGGATTCTCACTGTCAGTTCTGCGGGTAACAGCGGTCCAAATCCCACCACAGTCTCGCACGTAGCACCATGGATCTTTACCGTTGCATCCAGCACCACGAACCGTGGGTTTATCACCAAAGTTGTTCTCGGAAACGGCAAGACACTTGTCGTAAGTATTAACTAACACTTTTTTTTTTTTTTTTTTTTTTTAAGTAACACTTTTTTTTTATATAGTAATCTTGTCTTTCTTTTATTGACCCCTCTGTTCCTTTGTCGTAAAAGGGGAGGTCAGTGAATGCTTTCGATATGAAGGGAAAGAAGTACCCTCTAGTGTACGGAAAATCTGCAGCTTCCTCTGCTTGTGACGCAAAAACCGCAGGGTAAATTTCTCCCTACGAAACAGTATCATAATTATGACGATGACAGTGTCAATTAAATCAATCAATGTACGTAATGAGCTCAAATTTTTTCAGACTTTGTGCGCCAGCGTGTCTAAACAAAAGCCGTGTGAAGGGAAAGATCTTAGTGTGTGCTGGTCCGAGTGGTTTCAAGATAGCTAAATCAGTTGGAGCTATTGCAGTCATTTCTAAATCCACTAGACCAGACGTTGCATTCACTCACCATTTACCTGCCTCTGATTTACAACCAAAAGACTTTAAGTCTCTCGTCTCTTACATTGAGTCCCAAGAGTAAACAATCATCTTATCTATGCTTTATACATGCGTATATCTGCTCCAGATTCTCCATGATTCCATCTCTATCCTAAAATTTATGTGTTTGTTTTCTCAGTTCCCCAAAAGCGGCTCTTCTAAAAACCGAAACAATCTTCAATCGTACATCTCCTGTTGTCGCGTCTTTCTCTTCTCGCGGTCCAAACACCATCGCTGTTGATATTCTCAAGGTAAAAATATACAAAACATCTATGCTCTCGGTTCTGTTTATTTCTCCAGTCTGAGAGACAATGGTGGATGAATTGCAGCCGGATATAACAGCACCAGGAGTGGAGATCCTTGCTGCATTTTCACCTGATGGTGAACCGTCTCAAGATGACACCAGACATGTGAAGTACTCTGTTTCCTCTGGAACTTCAATGTCTTGTCCGCACGTTGCAGGGGTGGCTGCGTATGTCAAAACGTTTCACCCTAAATGGTCTCCTTCCATGATTCAATCTGCCATCATGACAACTGGTAAGCAATAACTGAATGCACTTTTTACTTTATTGTGCTACAAGTAACCTTTGTTGACACTTTGTTATCTCAACTAATCTTTGCAGCTTGGACCGTAAAAGCTAATGGACGTGGCATCGCATCGACCGAGTTTGCTTATGGATCTGGGCATGTCAACCCAATAGCCGCTTTAAATCCTGGACTTGTCTATGAATTGGACAAAGCAGACCACATCGCCTTTCTGTGCGGCATGAACTACACTTCGAAGACCCTTAGAATCATCTCGGGTGATACCGTCAAGTGCTCCAAAAAAAACAAAATCTTGCCTAGAAACCTTAACTATCCTTCAATGTCGGCCAAATTGTCAGGAACCGATAGCACCTTCACTGTGACTTTCAACAGAACTTTGACCAACCTCGGCACGCCAAACTCTACATACAAATCAAAAGTAGTCGCAGGTCACGGATCTAAGCTTGGCATCAAGGTCACGCCTAGTGTTCTGTATTTTAAGACAATGAACGAGAAGCAATCTTTTAGGGTCACTGTTACAGGCAGGGACGTCTGAAATTACTATATGTGTGCTAGATCTATACGTTTGTATGATGAGAGAGTGTAACGAGTTCGTATGTGCATAAAGTAAATGAGACACAAGAGATTTGTTAACGGGGTTCGGTTAACCTACATCCCCGGGACCAAGTCCAGAAACCATTCACTAGAAAAGGCCGCAACCTACAATTGCTATATGGTATCCACCACTCTTTTCTAGAATTACAATGAAAGAAAACTACTACTCCTATTGTCTTTTCCGACGAGTATAGCTTCTCAACAAAACCATCAAAAGATCTCTCTATCTTGTTGATGGGGCAACGTCACAAACATGTGTGCCTCTCTCGATAAACCCTAGACGCGCAAGTCTTCATGTTGCCGTCTCTTGGTATTTATATCAAGTGCCAATAACCCTAGACAACTTAAGCCACACTTCAAGTCTCTACAAGCAATTGGGTTTAACTTGAACAATGGCCCACGACCCACGTGGCCTTTTTTGCTTTCACGCTAGAAAGACTCAATCTCGATCTTGTTCCAACAGCTTCAATAGTGTTCCAACAATATCTGCACTTTCAATCTCTCCCTTTTTGACTGAGTTTTACAGCTCAAGCTCTCCATGTTAAGCACGCATAACCATCAATAATAATGATATAAAACCTCTCCCTTAATCATATATCATCGTGCTAATATCTGTTCACGGAACTTTCTCAATGATACCAATCTCCCCCTGCTTGAGTGATAAAACTCTGTTAAAACATTTCAGTGCAGAACTTCTTATTTATGGATTTCTTTCTCCCAAAACTTCTTATTGCACAATAACCTCCAAATCAAGATTATCCACGTCTGATGTAGAGAAACCAACCTTTGCTCTCTAACTTTTTTTGTTCCATCCATAATGCTTAGTCTTATCAGCAGTATGAGCTTTCTCTTCAACTGTAAATTTCTCCTCTTCTTAATTGACAACCAAAGTCAACACCCATTAAGTCGTTACGTCTTCGTCAACAGATGGGCCAACATAAAAATCCACGAGGATATCCATTCTCAAACCAAACATGCATTGGTCTAAAATTAACAAACCAAGCTCCATTAAGGAAATCGTTCATATAAGCAGCTACACGGCGGATGACACTCCCCCTACACCATTGCATCACATTCTCCCCCTGAGTTTGACAGCTCAATCATACATAACCAGCATGCATAAAAATCTCCCCCTGATTGAGTTGATAAAACTCTGTGAATATGTTCTTCCTTTCTTCTCTGGAATAGGTTCTTTCTTTGCAGATACATACTGCAGATAATCTTATTTGGCTTGAACATTATTCTCACGAAATCCTTATTCCAATCCTGACCAGAGAATCAGATCCTTCACCAAAACTCACAACAGAAATTTGTTCGCTCAAAAGCATCGACATGACTTCTAATCTGCTCCACCGAAACTGACATTGCAAGCCTTCTTCTTCAGAATTAATCCAAGAGATCTGATCATGTCACAAATTTAGACAAACTTGAACACACCTAGTCGTTGTCTCCAAATGCAGCTTGTTGTCACATTCACAACTTCACAAAGCTTCTTAGTTAGCTCATTCAACCATATAATTGTTATCTACAATAACTTCTCTTGTACAAATGAGACCATCCGCAATATAACCCATCTAAAATTGAGGGTTATTACTCTCTTTGAATCATTCTCCTTGGTCAAAAGGCTTGTCACACATGCAGACAATTTTTGTCTCACTATGAATAACTATGTTATAGCACAAGGAAGTCACAAATCTACAGACCGCTTCTTGAATTACTTGCAGTAAACTTGAACCAAACGACACTCCATCAAGGTACCAAACCTGCTACACATGCTTTCGACACAAATCCAAGCTTCCTGTTTTAAACAAAGCGTTTCAGACAATCTTAGACCTTTCAGCTAGCTCACCCAACTGATCTAGTGACGTTCATGAGGCTTCTCTTTTAACAGCTTTAACTGATGTAATACTTTCTGCCTACATCACACAATCTTATGACCAATACACTTCTGTAAATGAGGCCTCCTCCTGAAGAAACCGGGATACCTTTTTTTTTTTTTTTTTTTTTTTTTTTTTTTTTTTTCTTTTTTTTTTTTTTTTTTTTTTTTCTTT